TGATGGACAGCTGATGGACAGGTGGAGGACAGGTGGAGGACAGGTGACGGACAGGTGGAGGACAGCTGATGGACAGGTGACGGACAGGTGGAGGACAGCTGATGGACAGGTGGAGGACAGGTGGAGGACAGGTGGAGGACAGGTGGAGGACAGGTGGAGGACAGGTGGAGGAACCTCAGCAGGTTCTGTGAACGTTCAGTCATTTCAGTTCAGACCAAGACGATCAGCTGCTTCTACTCCGTTTATTGTTCCAACAGAAAACACGTTTACAGCTTCGTGGTTAAAACCTACTTCATAGCAAACGTTAGGTTGTGTAACAGAACAGGTCTGGTGGTGACCTGACATTCTGTTTACTTCACAGGAAGACGTTAAATACGACTCTTTAGAAACAGATTTAGTTTTTAACGAACGTGACTCAGTGTAATTAAACTGATTGTTAAAATATAATAAAGTCACTTCTTAAAAACACAAACTGATATTTTCTGTGAGAAACTGATTAAGGAGCTTTCAGTCCAAAGCCACTGATCCTACATTTCCTATACTGCAGCTGGCTACAATTTTAGGCCAATCAGAGGCTCCAACAGCCTGGCCCTCCCCCTGCTCCTCCTCCCTCAGGACTGGCTGACAGCTACACTCCAGCTGGCTGTGTGAGTGCTGTCATTGGCCAACTGGGCGTAGAGGCGGGACTTAAGGAATCGTGGGTAGCTATCTGTTTCCATCAGGCCAAAGATCTGATCCTGGGCTAGCTGGAAGGAGGCGTGGCTAATGCCCAGATGCAGGCTCTGAGTCGTCGATTCTCTGACGGACGAGTCCACGTTGACCTGGAGACAGACAGCAGCCACGTCAAATGACCAGTCAGCGGACCAATCAGAGGACAGATAGACAGACAGACATGTACCTGTCTTGATGCACTTGTAGAAATAAACTCATCATAGATTTTTGCTGCTCTGGCGGCCATCTTGCTGAAGGGGCATGTCTTCTTATACTTTTCAACAGCCAACCAGAAGTCCAGGTTCTCCTCACTGAACTCCGACCTCAGGAAATGACGGAACACTGCCAGACCATCTGACCAATCAGAGAGAAAGAGCAAGGATACATCATCACAGAGACTCCGTCCCTCACTGATTATTGGTGGAACAGAACGCTTCTTACACTGATTGGTCAGCAGGGCCTCCAGGCTCTCTGCCCAGCTCAGCACCTCACCAGCAGACGGTCTGAAACCCAAAACCATCACACCTGAGACATGGACCCAAACACAGCCAAAAAATAAACAGAACCAGAACAAACTGCAACAGCAGGAATCAAACAGAACTAAACTAGAACCAGCAGGGACCAAGCAGGACCAAACAGAACCAGGCTCTGAGTTCAGAACCAGGTTAGAATCAGGGTCGGGTTGAACGTATTTCCTACCTGTTGTTTCTAAGAGCTTTCTCCAAACTGTTACCGTGGTAACCAGTACTGTTTTTCCGTCTCCTTAGAAACGCCAGGCGGCTCCGAACATCAGCTGCCCTAAGAAAAGGAAAAAGACGATTCAGAGAAACGGAACAGCAAACAACAACAACAACAACAACAACACTGTGTTTGTTTACGTACAGTATCTTGGTCTTCTTCCTCAGCTGACGGTTCCTGGAGTCTGTAGCCTGAAACACAACACCTGTTAGACTCCAATGGTACTGGTCTGTAGTGGTCTGTACTGATCTGTACTGGTCTGTACTGGTCTGTACTGGTCTGTGTCATATCACATGTCCAATCATAATTCTTTATGATAAAATAAATTAAATTAAAGCATTCTGAAGGCAGTAGACGTGTAACAAGACCTATGAGGAACCATATCGGGCCAGTAGGAAACATCTAGGACCATGAGGAACCATATAGGGCCAGTACGAACCATATGGGGCCAGAAGGAACCATCTAGGGCCAGTAGGAACCATACAGGGCCAGTAGAAATTCCGAAGACCCCTTTTCCACCAAGGAGAACCAGGTGCTGCTTCTGTGCTGGTGCTGGTTCCAATCTAAGAACCGGTTGCTTTTCCATCAGCCAGGAGCCCAGTCAGAACCGTACGTCACTGCATACGTAGCCGTTAACCGAGCAGCGCTGACGACACGGAGCCCACTCAGGACTCAGACTGACTTTATCACTGATGCGACCGGCTTTCTCACTTGGTCGCTTGTTGTCACAGGAGAAACATCTGACCTGCTGAACATGTTCTTATTGACAGACGCTAGAGTTCACGATGTTCCCTGAACGCCCCACATAGCAGGCTGCGCTAGCTGCTGCTGGAGGCCGCGGTGTGTGACCAGAGATGATTTAACAGAGTGAACCAGGAGGTTCTGGTGTCAGATTGGTCCAGGATGAAGCCCAGTGATTGTTCTCATGAGGTCTTTTCTATGAGCAGAACAAACAGCATGTAGCTGAGGTCCGTTTGTCACCAGAACACCTCATGTCTAAGTGTAAATACCACAGCTCACCAAAGTTCTAACAGTCCTGTTCTCCACCACTGTGGTGCTGCTGCTGGGACACCATTGGACCGGACTTCAGTGCAACTGTTTGTGCAGAACTTCCGTGCGTCCTGGGACTCATTCCAGTACGTCTGTGATCGGACCAGAGACGTTCTGGTGAAGAACGACACAAATCACCTCTTGTGTCCCATCCATCGGTCTCGGTGGTCCCAATAGCCCCGCCCCCAGAACCTGAAGTACTGGTGCTTAGCTCTGGACCAGCATGGAGTTGGTTCTTGCTAAGCACCAGTTCTGAGAACCTGGAGCTGGTGCTCAGGTGGTGGACACACAAAGGCTCTGGCTCTGAACCAGACCTGGAACCAGTGTGGTGGAAAAGGGGTACCAGTGAAAAAGAACTCCCCTGTCGGTTTCCTGAAAGTTGCAACAGCTGGTGGAACCCAGTGCTGATCAATACCTTGGTTCCGTTGAGCAGCAGCATCATGTGGTGCAGGGACCCGCCCTCTCGGGTCAGCTGATTCCTCAGGGTGTGGGGGGAGGGCAGCTGGGGGGTGGGGCCTGAGTCGAGGTCAAAGGTCACAGGGCGGGTGAGGCGGTGTATAGTGCTGTCAGACAAGAACCGGGGCGAGCGAGGTTCCTGCAGCAGGGAACCCTCGGAGAATGAACGTCGCAGGACTGAAACAAAGAGGACACTCAGCCGATCAATCAATCAATCAATCAATCAATCAATCAATCAATCAATCAATCAATCAGTCAATTGATAAATCGATCAGGGACTAACCTGCAGCTCTGCAGCGGAGCTCCTCCTCCTCGTTCTCATTGTCGTCATCACTCTCCTCCTCCATGTTGAAACGGGTGGGGCTGAGTGGAAGGCCACGCCCCCAGACTCCTCCCACATGCTCTGACGTCTCCGATGCGCTCTCCCCCTCCCCCTGCTGCCGCTCTTCCTCCTCCTCTCGCCTCCTCTTCCTCCCCTCCTCCTCCTCCTCCAGCCCCCCCCGCTCCTTCCAGAGGGGGGAGTAGGGGGGAGGGTGGGTAGTCCT